GTAAAACTACTTTTACGGATTCTATCGCGTTTAATTAAGTTATTTTTATTAATTCCCGACGTTTCGGGTGCATGGGTGCTGTAAAGCACTAGGCACAGCAGCTGGCCGACTTCATGGAGGAAGAAGGAATCTTTATGATGAACTCTTTCTTCCAGAAGCGGCCCCACAGGAAGCCCCGACGGTTCGACACAAAATGATATTGCCTTCAATATGACGACTAGACGGCAACTGTTTAGTGGTGTCTCAGTGATCGTGAGGGTGAAAACTGGTAGCGATCACCGAATGGTCAGCGGCACACTGAACCTAAACGTTAAGTTGGAGAGGTGTCGTCTAATATACGCTCAACGTACGTCAACGCTCCGTCCCCCTCGTCCTCTAAACCAAGATCCCGAAATCTTTTAGCTCGAGTTACAAAACCGTTTTTAATGCGTAGAATTTTGTAATACAGTGGACAATTTGAATGAAAAGTTCGTGGAAACTGTCCATGCGGTCGAAGAAGGCCGCAGAAGAACACAAAAACTCTCCGATCATACTCTTAATTTCATGGCTGTTAGACGGGAAATGAAGCTACAGTCTTCGGTAGATTTGACAGCGTACAGGCAACTAAACAGACAGATTTCCAAATGCATGCGGCGTGACTTTCGCAACTTCAATACTGCTCGTATTGAAGAAGCGATTGAGTGGAACCAGTCTTTGCCAGAGATCTGTCTGCCAGAAAGAGCCAACTATCGAAGCTGAAGGCCGAGTGTGGCAGCATCGTTTCCGGGACACCTGAGATTTTGAGTGAGATTGAGAGGTTCTATGGGCAGCTATACACATCATCGTTCGAGCCACATGCAAGTGTGAGTAATGATCCAAGAGCAAGTTTTATCCGACACGATGATATCCTGGACGTCAGTCTGAGCGAGATTAGAATGGCTCTCCAGCACCTTAAAAAAGGCAAGTCCCCGGACGAGGATGGAATTCCAGCGGAGCTTCTGATATCTGGTGGAAAACCAGTACTTGAAGTCCTTTAGAAGCTCTTTAATTCCGTCCTCCATTGTGGCATTACACCGGAGGCGTGGAGCAGAAGTGCGGTGGTCTTGTTCTTCAAGAAAGGCGAAAATGCTCTCTTGAAGAACTAACTACAGGCCGATTTCCCTTCTGAGCCGCGTCTACGTGCTGTTTTCGAGAGTCATTATGAATCGTCTCGCACGCAGACTCGATGACTTTCAGCCTCCCACCATAGACCACATACATACCCTTCCCACATACATTGCCTTGCGTATGTGGACTATGACGAAGTCTTTGATTCCATCAAAATTTGGGCGGTGCTACAGTCCCTTCAGTGGTGCCAAGTTGACTGTCGGTATATTGAAGTGCTGAAGTGTTTGTATATGGAATCAGAGTATGAAACATATCCAACTGCAGAGAGGTGTAAGACAGGGTGACGTTATATCCCCGAAACTCTTCACCTCTGCATTGAAAGACCTAACGGACTGGAAAGAATATGGTATTAACATCAATGGCGAGTACATCACACACATTCGATTTGCCGACGATATAGTCCTCATGGCAGAATCGCTGGAGGACCTAAACACTATGCTCAATGACCTCAATAGTGCCGGATAGGACTGAAGATGAACATGAACAAAACAAAGATCATTTGTAACGTCCATGTCATACCTATGCCGGTAGTTGTTGGGAGCACTAAGCTCGAAGTTGTTGACGAATATGTTTACCTGGGATAAATAGCCCGACAAGGTAAGTCCAAATCAGAACGAGAGGTCAATCGACGGATTCAAATCTGCTGGGCAGCGCTCGTGAAATTACGACACATTTTCTCTCAAGTATACCTCAAAACTTGGAAACGACTAGTGCGTTGCCAGTGATATCTTATTTATTTTATTTATTTATTTGTTTAGGTACACAAAACAGAATAACATCAAAACATGAACAATTGAACATAATAAATGCAAAATAACGATCTGGATGGTATTCCAAAACATGTGCACACAACATGATATTAGGTAACAGTAACGAGTTTACAGCGCAAATACTTATAATCTTACTTATAAACTTAAGTTGTGGAAAATTTAGAAAAATTAATTCTTTATTAAAATGGAAATGAGACGTGGTCTTTCATTGCTGGCCGTATGAGGAAGCTCAAGGTCGCTCAGCGAGCTATGGAGACGGCTGTGCTTGGGGTTTCTCTGCGTGATAAACTTAAAAATGAGGATATCCGCAGTAGAACCATAGTGACCGACATAGCCAACGGATTAGTAAACTGAAGTGGCAATGGACCGATCATATAGCTCGAAGAACCGACAACCGATGGGGAAAAAAGGTTCTCGAGTGCAGCCTCCTAGCTGTAGGCGAAGTGTACGGCGACCCCCCATTAGATGGAGTGACGACCTGGTAAGACATGCAGGAAGTCGATGGATGCAGGTGGCTCAGGACCGTGCTTTGTGGCATTCCTTGGGGGAGGTTTGTTCAGCAGCGGACTTGTGAAGGGCTGTAATAATGATGATGTTGATAATGAAATATTTATTTTCATTAGACAATATTTATTTAAAAATAATTTCTAGTACCCCATATCACGGGTTCTTCTTGATAAATTTCTATAAAATAGTAGAATTGTCAGTGCAATCCATCGCAGTAGGTAGTATTGTAATTATTATTAATAAATTATTTTTCAAATTATTTTATAAAGTAAATTTTTATAGAAATATTGTTTAAAAGATCACGGGTCAAACAAATAGGGTTGCCACTTTATTTGAGTAAAAAAAGTATTATATATACTTTTCTAAGCTAAAAGAATAAAGTACGACAAGTGAAAATAAGTATCTATTATTTATTCGACATGTTATTTTTCTACCCATTTTCTTTACCTGCATTCTATGTCTACGTTAAGGTAACACTGTTTCTTTCATCCCTAGCATTCATTAAAGAATAAACTTTGTAAGTAACGCTGAATTGAATTAATTTAATTATCAAGTAGACAAAGTCGTGCAACGAGACTCACGTCATCCATGTTTAAAAGATTTACGTTGAATGATTACAGACGAATATGTAAACGTGTCGCACTCGTCCACGAATAACTTGGCGAGGTACTCGGCGAGTTGCTCGTTCCGATAATGTAAGCGTGCCATTAGTCGTTATGGGTCGGAAGACGCTGCTGCCCATCTCCTGATTTAGTTACCCCTTTGTCGCCTCCAACGACACCCACGGGATGATATGGGATAGTGGATACTCTTACACCGCCACCACACGGTTCTGGATTTTCATACACCACCACTGACTACAAAAGTGAAACAGTTAAACTATTTTATTCATACAATTTTCAATTCGTTTGTGTTGTATTTAAAGAGTTCAACAAAATCAATTTTTTGAAGGGTGTTACCACACCAACCAATCGATCGTCCATCGATTGATGTCGATCGATTGGTGTGTTAGCTTCGACGGATACTGTTCGATAAAACGTTTTTCAATCATCGATCGACATAGACTAATCAGTTCCACCATCGATCGATTGGTGTGGTAACACCCGCGGGGTCGCGGCGTTGGCTTATATAAGCGTTTGCAAACCAGTGACATGCGAACAGAACACATTGCCTTCTTAGCTTCAACACAGCTTGTGTTGTGTCAGAGAAGCATACGTAGTTCGTATATACAATTTGCCAGCTCAAAAGGTTTTATAGCACAACCCCGTGCAATTGTTGGCATGAAGAAGCATTTGAGAACACGCCTGCGAGAGACTCTTCACAATTTAAGCTATAATTTGCCTGTACAGTCCTATTTGCTTGGCATATTTGGTTTCAATGTCAGAAGACAGATTTAACCATTACACTATTGAGGGTAATTTGGTCATCTTATTTTTTTTTCTTTTAAAAATCGTTACCTCCTCACTTGGATTTTCTCCTGTATCCTGGAGGCAGCTTATATACATAGATTTCACAAGGACAAACATCCAGACCCGGAACAATTATTTGTAGGCCATACAAATACGCTGCAACTCATTGCAAAGCCACTGCGCCACGGAGCCGTCTTAGTATGGTTAATTTCTTATAACTCAAATACTACAACCTTGTTTGTGTAGTTCATCAAATAATAAAGGGTCAAATGGGCGTTGTTTTATCGACGCCATTTTGATAGTTGAGATTACAGTAAATATTTTAGTCGATTTTCTGCCGACTTCAAAAAGGAGACGGTACTCAATTCGACTGTATGTTTTTTTATGTGTGTTACCTCATAACTTTTAACTGGGTGAACAGATTTCTATGATTCTTTTTTTATTGGAAAGCTGGTTCTTCTCATGTGGTCCCATATGAATTATATTTATAAAATATAGATCAAGGTCAGACTAATAGTTTTTGAGTTATTCTTAATAATTTATATTGAAGACGGCTGTACAAAATTTTAAATTTTAAATTATAGTATTGTGTAGTGTAGTTAGTTTTTACTAAGTTTACGTGTTTATAATTATTGCCGAAGCTTGCTTTATAGTTTTTTCTTAATATATTAGTTATAGTATACGACTTTGTGTTTTTGTCTCTGTCCTCCTCCTAGTTTTAGTTTTATAAGGCGGCAAAGTTTAAAGTGACCATATTGCCCTCACGTACCTTATAGCAGCGAACAAGAACTTAAATATGACTATAAATATTCATAAAACGGCAAATAAAATTCAAATATTGACGTTTATTTCAATATTTGTATAACGACTTTCGATAGCATTGTAGTCAACCGCGCCACACCTAGTCTAATTACAAACGAAAGTGGAATTGAGTGCGATGCAAAGCGGAGAGCCCTCTTCTATTCGACGCCGCGGCCATTCATAAAAAGCAATCCGAATGTCGAATGTTTGCAAACGATTTACCGACAAAGGCCGCGGAACGGCGAGGGTACAGTCAAACGCACCCTAGCAATTTACTTAAAACAACCGCTCCGCGCCTCTTTGTCGCTCAAACCGCCAGCTTACAATACCAGAAACTACTAACCGACACTCCCTCTCCGCAGGTACAATGCAGCCGTTCCAATCAACAACCCGCCCGGAGGGACCCCGGGAGTCCTCCCCCGAGCGCGCCAAGTCCCCGGACACCCCGGCTCCGGTCCTCAACTTCTCGATAGCGCGGCTGATGGAGCCGGATAGAAAGAAGTCCGTATCCCCCGAACCGCTGCCCCCGCCACCGACCGGATTTCTGTCCTACGGGGCTCAACTGCTAGATTCCGCGTTCAAGCAATACATACCTGCGGCTAGAAGACAACTTGTCTCGCACTATCCTCTTCTGTATTACGGGCCGGATTTGGTATCGCTGACTTACGCCCACCAGCTGCACCTCCCAAGACCACCACCTGTACAGTCACCGGTGCAGCGACCGCCGAGTCCAAGAGCTCCTGCCGCGGAACATGCAGTGTCTTCGACCACCGGACCAACGCCTTCACCTGCTAAGAACAAGAGCTTCGCGTGTGGCGATTGCGGTAAAGTTTTCAATGCTCACTACAACCTAACCAGGCATATGCCAGTCCATACAGGGGCTAGACCGTTTGTGTGCAAGATTTGCGGGAAAGGCTTCCGCCAGGCGTCCACTTTATGTCGGCATAAAATTATCCATACATCAGAAAAGCCACACAAGTGCCTCACATGTGGTAAGGCATTCAACCGCTCATCGACCCTGAACACCCACGCTAGAATCCACGCCGGGTACAAGCCCTTCGTTTGCGAGTTCTGCGGCAAAGGATTTCACCAGAAAGGCAATTATAAGAACCACAGGCTGACCCACAGCGGCGAGAAAGCCTACAAATGTAACATATGCAACAAGGCTTTCCACCAAATCTACAACCTGACGTTCCACATGCATACCCATAACGAAAGGAAACCATTCACCTGCAGTATATGCGCTAAGGGCTTCTGCAGGAACTTCGACCTAAAGAAGCATACTAGAAAGCTGCATTTAGGTGCTGGTGGATCAAACAACGACTCATCCCTCGATACTCAAGATGAGTCAACCCAAGAGGCGTCAACAAGTCCAACCGACGAAACCAGTAGAGCAGCCTTTAGACCTTTTTTAGGTACGACATACCCAAGGATCCTCGATCCAGCTCGAATGACTGCTCCTAACGCGTTCTTTTCCAAATTATTGTGACCGGGAGTTGGGTATTTCAATGGCTTTGGTGAAACCAACGAGTGAATTGAAAAAGGAATTTGACATCTGTAGCAAATATTATCTATGGATATTAAAAATATTAGGTAAGACAGATTATATTCTAAACAAATGATTTTTCGATTATTTCTTATGTACCTAGACTTGTGTCTGTAATTCGTTAAGCCGTCCTATACTTCTATTACTTTTCAGAGAAAATTATTTAACGCGTACCTAATAGTGGCTCATCATACTCGTAATTTACAAAAAATGTATATTTTCAATAGACTTTAGGAAAATCGCCTGTAAATTAGGGAATAAACTAGACATTTACCGTATGAAACAACACATGCCCCATTATAATAATATCGTCAAATAATAAATCTAAATTTATAAAAAATGTTTTGTTTAGCTACTAATATATATTAGCTAAACATAACATTTGATAAGGTACTATAAAAATATCTTGTCAACATAATTCGGAGTGGGTTTTGGCGAGTGACGTATCAATGCTTTGAACTATCGTTTAAAATAATGTTTCGATGGATTTTGACATAAAGTACGTAAAAATTTATGTATTATATTAATATGTCTGCATGTGATCTATTAATGTTAAAGATGAAACAAGTTCCCTAATGGTGATATTAATATCAAGTTATGCGTCCGTAAAACCGGTAACTTGGGCTACTATGTTAAAACTTAAAATCTCCCAAAAATTTCGCAATGCACGTTGCAGCAACCTACTGTAAAAAATGTTGTTAACAAAATATGCATCAGACTAGGTTGTATAGAAATAGATCCCTTTGTCTATTAATAATTTAAAAAGTCAATATCTTGTATGATAACCAGTCTACCTGGAATTTGGAACAAAAAAACAGAGATTTATCTATTTCCGAACAATTTTTTTAGTATTTTTGTTGAATTGTGAGTCGATCTTGTTTTATCATATGTTACTTATTGAAGGTTTTTAAAGCGCATAAAAGACATAGGCATTTTACGCAATATAAGCGTGTCTTTAAGTTAAAAATTTGACGGACTTGTGCTATTCTAAACACTATTTATTGAACACTGTACACAACGGGAAGTTTAGTCAACTTTCTTATTTCGTTTCTTTGTCTATTTACATTTGTTTCATATGCGCACGTTCGGTCTCACGTAGAATACTGTTCTTATCTCTGGTCCAGGGCACCCCAGTGGCAGCTTCTTCCACTTGACCGCATCCAGCGCAGAGCAGTTCGAATTGTCGACGACCGAGTTCTTTCTGATCGACTCGATTCACTGGCGCTGCGTAGGGATGTTGTATCCCTTTGTATTTTCTATCACATCTACCATGGGGAGTGCTCTAAGGAATTGTTCGGATTAATTCCAGGCGCCAAATTTTACGAACGCACATCGCGTTAAAATTCACGATACCATCCTCACCATCGGGATGCTTGGAGTTTTCTTCCTCGTACAACTTCTCTGTGGAATTGTTTACCACCGGCGATTTTTCCGGAACGATACGACTTAGGAGCCTCCAAGAAAAGAGCTTACTCCTTTCTAAACGGCCGGCAACGTACCTGCAATTCCCCTGGTGTTGCGGTTGTTCATGGGCGTCGGTAGCCACTTACCATTAGATCAGCCGCATGCTCGTTTGTCCCCTCTTCTATAAAAAAAATACGTTCAACAAAAACGGGTTGTAAAATTTGCAGGAATTCGTTGCCTTCTCTTGTAGGTCTTGTAATCTTTTTTTGTCTTGTTTTCTTCTTCTTTCGTCTTGTCACCACCACATAACATAACAATAAAGGATTAAGTCCTGAAAACACTCGTGTAGCTCGATTCATTTAGAGTTGTTTCAAATTGGTGCACTACCAATTTGAAACAAACACTCTTTTCTACCTAGTAGAGATAGAGTAAGAGTCAGTATGATTATAGACTGTAGTCAATTTAGACTTCGGGGCAACGGGGAGTGTTTGTCAGACTAATATTCTTATTCATAAGAAAAATAACTAGGTACAAAACTCAGAAGAGCTGCCAGTTATTAAAGCCGTTTGCCGAAGTTTTCTTTCACCAATATTAAGAATGTTTCAAATTGGACTTATAGTTTTACACTTTAGTGACGTTTGCCTATTCTGTAAAAAAAAAGAATAGGGTGTATTATTATAAGAGATATTCTCATTAGTGACGCATACGTATTGTTTAGTACTATAATGGCTTAAAAATTAAAGTGTCATATCGAAAATTTATGTATAAATACAGAAACGCTGTTAAAATGTATAGTTTTTTTTTGTAAATAAGAAGTAATTTGTAAATAGTGTATGCGTACATTTTTGTTGTCTTTTGTTGCAAGCGAGCGAATGAACGTTTTAAACAAAGGATGCATATTTTTTACTTATTTAAAGTAGAACACTAGAACACTATTTAATGTAAACTGTTCTTTAAAAGAAGTAATAAAAATTAACTTATTTTTTTAACGAATGAGGTTATCTTTCGAAAATGCGAAAAAGTAGGCAATCTTACAGGTTATGATTGACGGGATGGGATTTACCCAAGTACTCTTTTATTCTGTCACCAATCCACCAAATTTTAGTATAGTGGGCAATTTTTACAAGGTTACTTAGTGTGGATTAAAGAGGTTAATATATTCAAAAATAAAATAAAATAAAACTTATTTTTAACGTAATTTATTTTGCGCCCAGAAGCAAATAGAATAGAATAGAATAGAATGATTTTAATTCCATATTGATCATTACATAATACTTATTGAAAGTAATTTTTTTATTTACCACTGGTTCGGAAAATACCTCTGTCCTGGGAAGAACCAGCAAGAAACCCAGTGGGACTTTTTTTAAAACATAATTTCACATAACAATAATTTTGTTTATACAAAGTAAAGGGCTACCCTCCGAGAAGCGGGGGAGGGAGGTGATGAATACTCTGAGCATACCACGCAGCCGGCTACATGGTTATGTGGGACCTACTATGAAAACCTAAGTGCCGACCCACTAAACACGACCTGGGACTGGCTTTGGCCTGGAGGGCCTTTTTACCAAAGGGTAAAAGTGAAAATTTTCCAAATTTTCTTTTATGGAATAAATGTAAAATGTATTGCTCCCTTCGCAAGTATTCTCTTGTTGGGGCTTCTAAGGTTTCTACGGCGCGAAGCGGCGCGGGGGCGCAGCGCCACGATTTGAAGGTAGGGAGGGCAGACAAGACTACGTGGAGTCGTGGTGCGGGCGTACTGATTCGGTTTTCGTAATCGATTTTTGAGTATCGATATCTCAGACGCTAAGCGAGATATTGAAACATTTTATTCTTACTTTTCAGCGTATCTTTACGAGATCTATACGAATCCGTCTTCAAATCATAGCGCCGTAAGAACTTTAGTCGTGCCCTCTTTTCTTTTTTAAAATGGCACTGATTAATATTATATCACAAATGAAAAGGAATAGATATATAGTAAAATGATATCAGATTAAAGCCTCTAAGTGTATTAAAAATCCGAACGCTAACTCAGTGGTAATATATAGAGATTTATGTTCGTTTGCTCGCTGCAACAAAACACTGCGCAATGCACGAATCCTGTACAGATAATATTATGCTTGCGATAAATTAGCTCGGTGTGTGTAGTTGTATATAGATGTACCTGACACAATATTCAATGTATATTGAGATATATAATAATATTAAATTAAACTATCTTTTATTTCACTCTCCCAAAGCAAACTTCTAACTACAATTCCATGTTTTTTTGTTTTTTGTTCAGAACAAACTGTTACATATTAAGGCTTAAACTAAATAGCAATTTATAAATAACTTGAGTAAATCGTCGCTAACGCCGCAAAGGCGCGAACCTCAATTTTTAAAAAAATTACACGAGAGCAAGAAAACATTTATTATTCCCCGATTTCTAGATTTTTTTCATCACAAAATTAATCTTATTTGTAGTTTTCCATTAAGTCTAATATATTTAATTTTCTGTTGAAAAAAAGCTATTATTCGGGGAATAATAAATGTTTTTTGCTCTGCTGTAATTTATTGAAAAATTGAAGTTCGCCCCTTTGCGGCATCAACGACGAATTGTGACACCGTTATCCACAAATTAATATTAAATTAGTATGAAACAGAATAAACGGATTATAAGTGAAAGAATTGACACACAGGAATTTATAATACTTGAATGGCTAACAACCTCTCTAAAACATTCTCATGAAATAGTTAAAGTTTTATTTAAAATTGTGTCAATGCGTGTGTCAAAGGGGCTTACTACATGTAATTCTCTATAAGCATACGGTTTTCAAATCGGCTGGGCAGAGTTTCGGAAATTACAACAAGATTTAAAACAACCAGTAAGTATTGCCAGAAATGACCTATACCTTCTAAATTCACTCAGCAAGGTACAAAATCCGTAACGATGATTTCCGCAGTGGACCAGAGTAATCGAAACGATCAGTTAACTGAAGTGGCAATGGACCGGCACGATGAACAGACATCCAATGAGAAGGCTCTCAAGTGGCAGCCTCACATAGGTTAGCGGACTGAATAGAAACAATTTTGCTAATTAGTTTTTATTTTTAAATTATGTTTGTTTTCTCTTCACAAAAACAGACCTTACATAATAAAAGTTTTATGTAGAAATAGAGGTAATTAAATGCTTATATATGATACGACAAAATAAACATCAGAAAAATTAAAGGCCAAAAAAGATTTTTTTTTATATAATAAGGGTGACAAACTAGCACAGTCCACCTGATAGTAAGTGGATACGGTGGCCCATAGACATCTACATTTATCCCTGATTAAGAATCAAAATGCAAATGCGTTGTCACTGAGGACTAGGGTCTCCGGTTCTCTACACTCACCATACGAAACCCAGCAGGATTAAGCTGCTATTTTACGCTCGTATTATGTGAGAGCGTGGTCTTTCGTGCTAATTCGTGCTAAAATCATAATATAGCTGCAGCGTGGCTCTACCATGTCAATAAATAACCAATAAAAATAACAGTTATTAAGAACACTTAATA